GAATTAAATTAATTTCTTTGGAATTAGGTATCAGATCCTTTTGCAAGTCAGATAGTTTCTAATACTTTACTTTCAACAATTGGTGTTAGCCATTATAAAAAACATGCATCATTAAAATAATTTTTAATATTAGATTAGTATGTATTTTTTTTAAGCAATTGACTCAGGAGGTGCTCAAAGAATTGAATGACATCATAAGAAAAACTTACTCTAGTCCCATCTACTTATTTATGTGATTAAGATTTCTCAGGGCAAAGGCATACATTCATAAACATAAAAAGAAATAGAATTGATACTGATTCCTGGATTCATAATTGAGAGGGGGGAAAGTTTCATTCACTACATTAAGTTGACACATTAGAGTTGACTCATCCAGTAAAATTTTACATGTGCATATATTTTATTTTTTTATTTTTCCACAGAGTCTCACTCTGTTGCCCAGGGCTAGAGTGCCGTGGCGTCAGCCAGCTCGCAGCAACCTCAAACTCCTGGGCTCAGGCGATTCTCCTGCTCCAGCCTCCTGAGTAGCTGGATACAGGCATGCGCCCACATGCATCTCTCCCCCCCCCTTTTTTTTTTTGAGACAGAGTCTCACTTTGTTGCCCGGTCTAGAGTGCTGTGACGTCAGCTTAGCTCACAGCAACCTCAAACTCCTGGGCTCAAGTGATCCTCCTTGAGCCTCCTGTGTAGCTGGGACTACAGGCATGTGCCACCATGCCTGGCTAATTTTTTCTATCTGTTTTTAGTTGGCCAGTTAATTTCTTTCTATATTTAGTAGAGACAGGGTCTCGATCTTGCTCAGGCTGGTTTCGAACTCCTGACCTTGAGCGATGCACCCACCTCGGCTTCCCAAAGTGCTGGGATTACAGGCGTGAGCCACTGCGCTCGGCCTAGCTTCTCATTTTAATCTTCATGGTAACCCACAATAAGAAATACATGTTATATTGTGAGTTAGTATATGCTATGTTTATTTATACATATCTGAGACAAAACTTTTATGAAATAATATTCATTGTTATGACATCTGATGCACTCTAATAATTTTTGTTTTGTTCTATTGTCATTTTTTATAAAGTTGGTAACAGCCATTAAAACTGATCTCACAACATACAATCTGAACCATAGTGGTCTAGATGTTTGGAATGTGTGAAATTTGGACTACCAATAAACAAGATAATGTTTAAATGAAAGTTTTCGATTAAATAGTTTAGAGCTTATTTAGATTGCCCTCTCTTTGTTAGAATAGTTAGATTTACCTATTCTTAGTCTCGTTTTGCTGCTCAAAGTAGGAATGTTCAGTTGTTCCTATTTTAGAGCTGGTATAGAATAAGATTACTCAGTGGTTGAGCCAGAAATTCTCACCTTGCAAGGCAAGAATTTCTCATCTACTTCATGTATATATTATTTTCTTAGGACAGAAATTGAGATACATGGATTAAAAAGTTATTAGCATAGTTCTCGAAGAGTGACTTGAAAAAAACTTCCTGGGAAATTTTTAAACATTTTAAAAAGTAGGAAGAATAGTGTAATGAATCCCTATTACCTAAATTCAGCTTCAGTAATTATAAACATTATGTGAGTTCCAAAGGAATTTTTTAAAAGTATTTTTAAGAGACACATAATTCCCTTCCTTGATATAGATAGATGATTTACTTTTAAGAAGTGATACATGAGCCTTAGTGTACTTTGCATCAGTACTTACTACCTGTTAGTTTTCTTTGATCCTTGCAAGAGGAGTAAATAATTACATGCTATGAGGGAGTAGGGGTGGTGTAGAAATTTTCTGTCCCATGTAGGGATTTACCTGATAACCTGCTAGAACACTAGACCCTGCCATCTTACTTGGAGTATTTCACCATTCTCTTTTACTGTCTCCCTACCACTTACTCCATACCACCTACCTTACTGCCATTACACTAATCCCTAAGAATGACTTGAGGGGAGGAGAATCGCATTACATTTATCCTTTGTTTAAAACTTCATTAGTTCTTCTTTCCTACCTATAGAATAAAATCTCAAATCATAGATTTTCATTCACCATCTGGTTCCAGTCTATCTTTCTAGCCTTCTCTTATACTATCTGTTCTCTGCCATTTTTAGTTTTTTATTATTCCTAGAATACTTAATCCTTATTTTAGGACTTACTTTTCAAGATCCAATTTATATATCAATTCGTGAATGAGGCCTTTTTAAATACCCCAGAAAAGTAGTTTCTTAGCTTGTTTTTGTTTATTTGTTTTTTGTGTGTGTTTGTATATGCATGTACTGCCACTTAACTGAGTTATATTTAGCAGTTTAACCTTACCCTGCTCCCTCACCCTCAATTAGACAGTGATCTCTTCCAGAGCAGGGGTTATATCTTACTCTTCTTTGTCTCTTAAACACTTCTTTGATGCCCACACATACTAGGCATCCAGTAATGGTTTGTTGAATTAATTTATTCATACTTTTAAATTTTCAGAATCTAATTCCAATATAGGTTCTCTCCAGATAGGAAGAGTTAATCAAAGTTTGTTTTTTCATTTTGGTTTTTAGTACTTTGGTTTTTTTTCTCCCTTCCTTGGGGGACTTCTGTTAAAATTTCTTTTCTTTTTTTGTAAATTTTGTTTAAATTTCTAAAGAGAACCTAAATTCCATAGCTTTTTCCTTAAGGGGAAATTTACTTTGGTAAACTAATGTAGAGTATCCATTTTCAATAATCCATAGTAAAAGGTAAGTAAAATATACTTTCAGTATACTTAGTTTTTTTCTGTTTGTGAAGTGGAATAGATTTGTGCTGTAAAGCTTATAACAGTCTTGACTAATTTTTTATGTTTCAGCTCATGGAATGCTGTGTAAATGCCCTGGTGACATCATTTAAGGAGACTATCTTAGCAGAGTGCCAAGGCATGATCAAACGAAATGAAACTGAAAGTAGGTAAAACATAACAAAAAGTTACCATAATTTTTTAAAAAGGGTATCTTTGAAACAAATCACTTAATAAATTGCTGTTAGATCATTTTTTCACATGTGAGTATATTTGTTAGAGCGAACTATGCTTAAGGAAAATGATAAAATATCTATCACAGAAGCACTGCTAAGGAGTTTGTAGATTTAGGTATTAATACTTGTGTGTACATGGTGAATTTCCTCAAAAATAGGGCTCTACTTTTAAAGGCCAATTTAAATTATAAACATGTGTTATAAGGTAGAACTAAGTATTTGACTTTTGTGTGGAACCTTCTGGTGAATCTGTTTAGAGATTAATAAAACATTCCATGTTAATAATCTTCATCACCCCAAAATATTTCATAAGATTTCTGAAGTGTATTTTTTTATTAAATATTTTCTTACTAAAAGTATGTTTTGAGAGGTAGTAAATATATAACAAATTAATATTTTTAAAAATTGCCCATGTTCCTACTACCCCCAAATTAACCACTTTTAACATTTTGATGGGTTACTCTCCAGATTTTATTATGTATAGCTGCAAGGTCCCATTTAATCTCTAGTTGCATTTAAAGTACATATTTCAGTTCACTTAAGTTCATACTTTTTAGGAATAATTTTATAGTAAAAAGCAATCTGGTGGTGGTTCATGCCTGTAATCCTAGCACTCTGGGAGGTTGGTGAGAACATTGCTTGAACTCAGGAGTTCAAGACCAGCCTGAGCAAGAGTGAGACCCCATCTAAAAAAAAAAAAAAAAAATTAACCAGGCATGGTGGTGAGCATCTATAGTCTCAGCTACTTGGGAGGCTGAGGCAGTAGGATTGCGTGAGCCCAGGAGTTGGAGGTTGCTGTGAGCTAGGCTGATGCCACAGCATTCTAGCCTGGGCAGCAGTAAAAGTCTGTCTCAAAAAAGCAGATTGAGTATTTAAAATAGTAATTGGAATAGCAAAACAGTGATATTAAAACGCCTTTTAATTTTAAGAAAAATTTTCCCCAATTTTAAACTATAGTCTTTTATTAAAATTATGTTTATCTGTTTTCTCATTTTTATGTTATTCTTTTCTTTTTAAAATTTCAATTAAATATAAAACATTTTGTTTCTAGGACTCTGAGAAATATGTTGAGCAATTACTTACACTATTTAATAGATTTAGTAAACTCGTCAAAGAAGCTTTTCAAGATGACCCACGATTTCTTACTGCAAGAGATAAGGTATATGTTCCTGTATATTAACACTTTGTATTAATTAGTTATAATTGACTTTTATTAATTTACATTCTTATGCTACTAAATTGGAAACTAAGAACCTAGCAATTCCAATTTTTCATCAGTGGAGCACAACTATATTTGGTTTGGTATATGTTTTTGTAAGCATTTTGTAAGCATTGAGTATCCTTGTGAACTAGAATTTAGCTAGAAAGTTGCTCTCTTCCTCATTTTTCTAAGGATGTTTTCCTGTTTTTGGATATTACCAATTATTTTTATTTATTTTTTTTTAACTGCACAATGGTCATGGATATTACCAATTATTGAATTCCTGTTCATCCTTCCTTTTAAGATCCAGTTGAAAGTATAATTCCTCTGGAGTGTTATTGATTCTATCCCACCCCCCTCCATAGTGCATCCCAAGCAGAGTTGATTCCTCCATCCTCTGTCCCTTCATAGGCCCCTTCAAGAGTTGTGTTATATTTATCCTTGCTTTCCGGGGAAGCATTTATATTACATACCATCTTTTCCCGTTCTCACTAGTAATCAGAAGAAATTGCCATTAGTTTCTTCCCCTTTGGTTACTTTTAATTACTTTCCAAGTTTGAATGGTTAGTTTAATAACCATTCAGTTATTAGGCAATCAGTTTTCTGGATTTTTTTTCTAGTCTATTTTAAAATAAGTAGGTAGAGTAGGGAAGGAGTTAGGGAATACGGAGGTGGTGGGGTAGTTTGAAGTCTTAAATTGTATAGCTTGCATAGGCTTTGTTGAGTTGCCATTTAAATCCAGACTGAAGGTGATGAAGGAATAAGTCATGTGGCTACTGAAGGAAGAGTGTTTTAGCCAGAGGAAACAGTAGATTCAAAAGCTCTAAGGCAGGAATATACCTGTCATGTTCCAGGAAAAGAAGTCATTGTGGTGAGAGTGGATTGAAGTGAGGGGGAGAATAACAGGAAATGAAGTCAGGAAGGTAATGGGAAGCCAAATCAAATAAGACTCTGAGTGATGGTAAGGAGTTTGGTTTTTTACTGTGAGTAGGATGGGAAGTCATTGAAAGAATTTGGGTTGGGTGTGGTGGCTCATGTCTATAATCCCAACACCTGGGAAAGGTGAGGCAGGAGGATTGCTTGAGCCCCAGGAATTTGAGACAAGCCTGGGCAACATAGCAAGACCCTGTCTCTAGAAAAAATTTTTAAACCTAGCTAAGCATGGTGACATGTGCCTATAGTCCCAGCTACTCAGGAGGCTGAGGTGGGAGTATTACTTGAGCCTAGGGTTTGGAGGTTGCAGTGAGGTGCTCTTCTCCACCCACACTGATGCTCTGTCAGTCCTGTCATCTCACTGGCTAACTAACATACTTTTAAGTTTTCAAATTTCATGTCTTTTACTTTTTTAAAACGTGTGTATTTAAGATATATAACATGCTGTTATGGGATACATATAGATATTAAAAAGATTACTATAGTGAAGCAAATTAACAAATCCATTGTTTCACCTTTTTTGTGTGTGTGGCAAGAGCAGTTAAAGACTGCTCATTTGGGCTTGGCACGGTGGCCAACACTTGTAATCCTAGCACTCTAGGAGGCCGAGGCAGGCGAATCGCTGAAGGTCAGGAGTTCGAAACCAGACAGGGCAAGAGCGAGACCCTGTCTCTACTAAAAATAGAAAGAAATTAATTGGCCAATTAAAATATATATAGAAAAAATTAGCCAGGCATGGTGGCGTATGCCTGTACTCCCAGCTACTCGGGAGGCTGAGGCAGGAGGATTGCTTGAGCCCAGTAGTTTAAGGTTGCTGTGAGCTAGGCTGATGCCACAGCACTTTAGCCCATGCAACAGAGTGAGACTCTGTCTCAAAAGAAAAAAATTATGAAAATAAAAATTTAAAAAAGACTACTCATTTGGCATAAATCCCATATACAAAACAGTATAATTTTATTACCTATAGCCTTCATGTTGTATATTAGTTCTCTAGACCTGTTCATCCTGCGTATATGCTACTTTGTATCCTCTGACCTACATCTCCCCATTTCTTCCCTGTCTCCTTTACCACTGGTAACCCTATTTTGTTCCTGCCTCTGTATATTTGAATTTTTTTGTAAGATTCCACACATAAATGAGATATTAATACAATAATATTTTTGTGTGTGTGTCTGGCTTATTTCACTTAGCATAATGTCCTTCAGGCACATTTTGTGTGGTGGCAAATGGCAAAATCTATTCTTTAAAACTCCTATGGAATTATTTTTTAGGGCTGAATAATATTCCATTGTATGTATGTATCAGTTTCTTTATGTATCTGTTGATGGACATTTAGATTGTTTTCACATTTTGGCTATAGTGAATAATGCTGCAGTGAACATGGGAGTTCAGATATCTTTATAAGCTGGTGATGTCATTACCTTTGGGTATATGCCCAAAGTGATAGCTGGGTTTCTGATTGTATTATGAAGATAGACTATAGAGGATGTGCTAATCAATCAGATGTAGAATGCGATAGAGAGCAGTCAAGTATGACACTCAGATTTGTCTTCTGATCATTTAGAAGAATATGTTTACTGCAATAGGGAAGAGTGTGGGAAACAGGTTTTAGGGAGATGGTTGCAGAGGGATCAGAAACTCAGTTTTGAAGAAGTTAAGGAGGATAATGAGGCTGGAAAAGTATATTTGGCAACTTCAGCAAATAGATGGTTTTTAAAGCCCTAACAGTGGCTGTGATCACCAACATAAGGAATCTGATAGAACAGAACAGATCTGAGGATTATTGGCCTAAGGCATTCTGATATTGGTTGTAAGAAAAATGAGGAACTCCAATTGACTCAGGAGGTGCTCAAAGATTGAATGACATCATAAGAAAAACTTACTCTAGTCCCATCTACTTATTTATGTGATTAAGATTTCTCAGGGCAAAGGCATACATTCATAAACATAAAAAGAAATAGAATTGATACTGATTCCTGGATTCATAATTGAGAGGGGGGAAAGTTTCATTCACTACATTAAGTTGACACATTAGAGTTGACTCATCCAGTAAAATTTTACATGTGCATATATTTTATTTTTTTATTTTTTACCACAGAGTCTCACTCTGTTGCCCAGGCTAGAGTGCCGTGGCGTCAGCCTAGCTCGCAGCAACCTCAAACTCCTGGGCTCAGGCGATTCTCCTGCCTCAGCCTCCTGAGTAGCTGGAACTACAGGCATGCGCCACCGTGCCAGGCTAATTTTTTCTATTTTTAGTTGTTAGGCTAATTTCTTTCTATTTATAATAGAGACGGGATCTCACTCTTGCTTAAGCTGGTCTCACACTCCTGCGCTCAAGCAATCCTTCCACCTCAGCCTCCCAGAGTGCTAGGATTACAGGTGTGAGCCACCATGCCCAGCCATTCCTATATTTTATATATGTACATATTATATAATTGTGTTGTTTTGGTGATTTGTATACTTATAATAATTTGGATAGCTCAGTCCTTGGACAATAACACTTAAATTTTATAAGCAAAATAAATTTTTAAATGTTGAATTTGAATTCATTTATATATGTTTTTAGAGAAGCACAAAAGAATGAAGAATA